TGCCGTAACACACATAAAAAAAAAAATAAAAAAAATAAAAAAAAAAAAACATACGGTCGAATTGAATACCTCCTTCTTTTGGGAAGTCGGTCAAATAACAAGGTGACGCTTCATTTTTGAACAATCTTTAGTTTACTTTACAACTAAAAATGAAGCTTATTAAAAAAAAATGGAACTTGACAACTGAGATAGTACCTTTCAGAGAAAGTACCGTAGAAAAAATGCTCGCTGTGCCCCGTCTATACATTTTAAATGTCTTTGCTCGGTGACCATATTACGAATGTTTGACAAAATATATTTATGGTAAAAGCACTACCATTTTCTTTTAGATATCACCATTAGAATTAGAGAGTGTAATAAGACAACACCCAGCGGTCCAAGACGTGGCAGTAGCAGGGATACCTGATGCAGAATGTGGAGAATTGCCTGTCGCTTGTGTCGTTGTGCGCCCAGGACATACAGTTACAGCACAGGAAATAAAGGACTTGGTTAAAGGTACTTAACGATAGTAATACAATCGATGGGTGTTTCCGGTGACCCTTCGATGGGACCAATGGGTTTTTTACCCATATCGATTCCACGATTAATTTCATACGACCCAATGGGAAAAAAATCCTAGGGTAAACAACCCGTTCGATCTAGAAACATGAAATAATTAAGAGAGGAGTTAGCCTACTCCATCCTACTTAGACAAAATTATTGCCTAATATTTAAAAAAAAATCCCTTAAAACCCCCCATTTTTTTTAAATAATGAAAGCGATATCTCTAGCACTTAATTATAACCTCATTTTACAGATAACTTAACGGACACTAAACAATTACGAGGCGGTGTGATATTCCTCAATGAAATACCAATGACGGTAACAACAAAAATTCACAGAAGAAAACTTAAGGAATTAGTTCTAACTATGGATAAAGAATAACTTGTAACGATGTATTTTCGAAACGGAAGAATATGCTAACAACGTTATAGTATATACGTTTTCACAATGGAAACAAAAATAACATCCAAAGCACTTATTAGGATGAAATCCGACTCGAAGGACCACTAAAGTATATTTTAGAATTGATTTCTTCGCGCAATAATTGCATTTATACCGATTTTTCTTATCGAATAATGATGATAAATAGATCTTATTTTATTAATATTTTTTAGTCTCTGACACTATATGAAGGAAATAAAAAATTGCGAGCAATTGATTTTCATTGTATTTTGTCAAAAGAACAATATTTAACAACACATTAACAAAACAATACAAGATTAAATCAATGTACATGCGTATCATATCGTTTTATTTTAATTATGGTTTTACTTCTTTGTCATATTTTAACAACTGTGCTGTAATTTGAGAGATTAATAGATCCCCTTAACGTCTTCTTTTGTAAGTTCTGAAACGAAAATAATATTAGTACAGCTTACGCTTCAAATACACTTACGATGTTTTGTAAATTGCCATTTTATTACCTTTTTAAAAATATTTGCCATCAATAAATTCGTCTTTTTAATATTCTCTTTCTTTAATTCTTCTTTCTTCTGTACAACTTCCGGCAAAGACTTGTAAATTTTTTCGGAATGTTTTTTCATTTCACGTTCATTTATAAATTTTGGAGCAACTTGAAAAGAAAAAAGATATTTTTTATTGTATCTTTGATGAATCTATTTTCCTCTACATATGTATATCTGCAATTTGTCTATAACTGTTACATACAAGAAATATACTTCAAAAGTTACGCTAACGGACTCATTAATGACCCTGAGTGCAGTAGTTCGATAATTACCATTCTTGCGTCTAAGATGGCCGCTCAACTGCCTTGCAAGATGTTGTAAGTCGTCACCGCTGAGAGCGTTTATTGTTTGCTGCCGTTCCAGTTGCTGTGACAGCAGTTTGCGGCTGGCAGTACGTTCATTTGACCTGAATATTAAAAATAAAATAGTCTATGGTTTATGGTCTATGGTTGTCATATACTATGCTTGTCCATAGACAATCTCATTTTCACTCACCAATTCCTGTTACATCATTGTGATGCGAATGCATAAAAGAATTTGGACACTGGTTGCAACTTAGTGGCATACCTAGAACATTTCTACCTTTACTTTAGTTTTATTTGATTAATTAGCTATTCAATTCTACGTTGCCTAAGAAAAGGATACTACAGATCCGAAATGAAAATTTTCCGCTTTGATATTACACAATCTATACTAATATTATAAAGAGAAAAAAAGTGTATATTTGTTTGTATTGCAAAAATTAAAAAAACTACTGGGCCGATTTTAAAAAATATTTTACTGTGAGAAAGGTAATTGATCTGTGAGTAACATAGGCCATTTTTAAATTTCACGGGGACGAAGTCACGAGCAACAGCTAGTTAAATTACAGTTGAACTTTACTTAGCTAGAATTTAAAATCTAAGAGATATATATTAAATACTTAAAAATAAATAAAGCAATACCTGAACAATATACATGACAAGGTTCCATACAATTAGTACGATTACATTTTGGGGCATGAACTACAATCATTTTCAAGCCTTCAGGGCCACATTTATCGCCAGGTCTGAAGTAAGAGAAATTGGTGAGTACTTTATTAAAAAAACATACTATCCTTTCTACAATTTCATCAATTCTAATAAAAAAAATCAACTATTCAACCGTAAGCAAAATTTTAATAGGTTATTTTAAAAGCAATAATACAGAGGTAGCGAACCATTACCACACAACCAATAGCACACGGCACAATATTTTGGGCACGTCGATGATCATGAAAACACTATGTAAAAGTATGAAGTAGGTATTACATAAACAGCGAACGCGATGTCAAAGTCAGTTAAAATTATTTAATGGCACGTCTAAGACCGCTTTAAACATTTCTTTAAAAAATGTATGATCAATAAAGGTTCGCCACCCCTGGCCTAGGGTATATATGTATTCGAAATACTTATTTACCTAGATTGATTAATTATCTTCAAGCAGTCTTGTCGCCTTGTAGTTTTATCGATAAAATCCGGTCTGTTCATTTCCAAATAATCTCTGACTGTACAAGTTCGCATTTTTTTGCTAAAGTCTTCACTTGACATCTCACTGTCGATTGGCAAACTCTTAGATCGATGTATTTTATTTTCAAATCGACTGCACTGCGGCAAATTCTTTTCGATCTTCGATGATACTTCTTGGAAAGGTGCAGTCGAACCTTTGAATTTTGAAGGTACTTTAACAATAACATTTTTTATAGATCGGCAACCCTCGTCACGCATAGTTTCCTCACTGGCAACACTATCAGACGTTTGTATTATTAAGTTGTAAGCGACAGCTTTCTTTTTTACTTTATCAACGGTCGTTCTAGGCTTGTGCGATTTGCATTTAGATCGACATGAACAATAATGCTCTCTGCTACAATTTTCACAATTAATTGATGTACTACTATACTCGTCGCGTTTCTTATGTGTACTATTTGTACTGCATCGTCTATGATGATATCTTTCGCATTCCTTTTTAATTTTGTTCAATACTTTACAGGCCGCGGAATCTGTTGAAGTTGTTGGCACCTCACTAGATGTTGGTATATCTGAAGATTCTGTGCATGATTTTTCTTTTTTGTTTTTCTTTACAGACATTTGAACACCCTTGTCGACGTAAGACTTTTTCATCGAGAATTCTAAGTGATTACGCTGCTGTATTTCGCCTGTCGTTGAAGCGCCGTCAGTATTAGAACTTGATAGACTATTTTTTGGAAGTCCAGAGCTACTTTCGTCAGTATCGAGTAAATAATTTAAAACTGTTATTATCTCTTTGAAACACTTTTTCCTTTTGCCTTTTTCCATATCTCTTTTTGTATACCGTTTTGTTATCTCTTGAATCATATTTAGTATGGGATCTTTGGATGTTCCATGTTCTACGTCGGATTTGCTTTCATTGCTTGACTTTTTTCTGATATTCTGCTCATTTGCTTCATTTTTTTTACATCTTTTGTATGAGATGTTATCGTTTGATCTTTTTGATATTGCAGATTCAGTAGCTTTTTCTTGTATGTCACAAGTAAGGTCTTTTTGTGTCTCAACATCAATTTTTTTATTAATTTGACTATTTGTAATATAGCTTTGTATAGAATGGGTATCAGTATTCGCTCTAAGAAAAGGTTTTTTTGCGGGTTGTGATTTTGTAGGATATGTGCTGTACTTCGTGCTGTTTTCATTGACGCAATTGTTTCTAGGATTTAATGTATCACATGTAAATTTTGCATCGTTAGTACATTTACTGGGATTGGGTTGATTACCTATACATGTATCCCTTTCTTTATTTAGCTTGGTTTCGTTATTCATTTGTGTGAATATATCAGTACTTGTGCATTGTACACCTCTTGTATCTTCTTCCAAAGGATTTTTCCTAGGTAAAACTTTGTTTAGATTATTCGGAAAAATTTCTTTCGCACCTACATTTATTTTAGCATCATTGAGATTAGATGAATTGGCTCCTAGACTGACAACTAAAGTCATATTTGTTCCTTTAATAGGAATAGAAAATTTATCCTCAGTATAATTATTGTCTCGCAGATTAGGTTTGTTTTGCACATCTTGTTTTCTTGTCGTATCTGTATATATGTCTTCAGAACTTTTCCCATTACCCATTTCATTACGATCATCGATTGTATCCGTTTGACTTTCATAAGTGCTATGAAAGATTTCTTGATCATTTTCAATATGTTGTTTACTATTATAACAGTAAGTTTGCTTTGGAATACAGTTTGTTTCACTACCAAATTCATTATCTACTTTAACATTTTCAAAATCAGTCATAAAACGAACATCAGATAATGTCGGATCAGAAATTTTTGGATCAATACTTATTTCTGTTTGCGTTGCCCGTGTCAACGGTAATATAGTTGCTTTATGACCTTGTTTGTAAGGTAATTTTTTTTGTTTCACATATTCCGAGTTACGTCGTTCTGTACAAGTATTGGTAGTATCACTGAATTGTGACCGTAAGAGTACATCCATATTACTATAGGTTTGAGATGAATTTGATGCTTTTCTCGCAGAGTTGACTACTGTTGTAGAACTCTGAATGATATGCAATCCTGTATTATTATTGCTTTGATCTATTGAATTAGTAGTTGTGGTTGTATTTTTTAATTTCTTAGGACATACACAATCTGTTGAACATTGTATTCCTACAGAACTAGATGCTTTAGATAATACATCTAAACCCAATCTCTGTGGACCACCTAATCTTGAGCATTTGTATATCAGCAACTTATCAGGTACATCTTGTGTCTCCATAGCCTCTTTAGCACACAAACAAACGTATTGTACATCCGCCTTATTTTGTGTATTTACAGTATCTGTTGATCTAGGTGAAGTGTGGCCAATTTTTACGTATTGTTTAGTTGAAGTTGAATTGTCTTCTTTATTGCTTCCATAATACGTATCTCTTTCAGATATTTTTTCATTTTCATACTTTTTACATGCACAGTTTGTATCATGATAATTTTGAGAGTCACAGCAACAATTTTTATTTATTCTACTACAACTAGCTTCTGCGACATCTCTTACATCTCTTTGATATTTCTTAATATGCTTTGTTTGTCTAACAGATTTACCAGAGGAAAGAGTAAAAACAGAATGGTTTCTTTGTGATTTAATATTGTTTTTCAGGTCCCTAGAATTTAAACCTATTTCAATTTTAGTTGCATCTCCTGAACCATCGCCTGCATTGTTTCGGGCTAATTCTTTAACTAGTTTATATATTCTATCATACGACTTCTCATGAGGCTCTGGCATTGCCTTAATACAAGTATCTGAACAAACCAATTTTTTCTTCAAAAGTGTTTCTTTGTTTTTTAAAAGTTTTTTATGTACCTGTTCTCTTTTTAATGCATCTAAATATTTGTTATATAAATCTTCGGAAGACATCTTTGGCATAGTGTCAGTTGAATTTTTTTCTCTGCTAGAATATTCTGAATCTGTGTTAGAGAATGTTGGTGTTTTAACATTTATAGTTTTTTCACTTTGCACCAAAGTACATAAATTAGGTGTACTTTGAGATGTAGACGCCATTCCACTTGGATTAAATTTATCCATACGTAAAATAGATTTTTTTGGCTTTGCTTGTTTATTATCGATTTCATTACCATCAGAAGTGCTTGTTGTAGTATTACTTGTTTTCAGAAGTCCTACGTTTTTACTATTAAAACTCAAACCTGATAGAAAAACAGTACCACTGTCATCATCACTGTATTGTGATTTAACCAATCTTTGAACAACTTCTTTAATTAGTTTTTCTTTTAAATTAGTATTATTGTACTTCGATTGTAAAGCAACTTTGAGTAAATTTATACTTTTTTCTAAATCTCTGGTAAATGAATTTTTCGATGTCTTACTGGAATCGGTTGTGAAACCAACACTGGATTCAAGACTTGATTTATTACCAACACTATTTGAGTCTTTTACACTGTTATTTACTTGATTCTGGTTATATATGTGCCCAGGCATATATTCAAAGCTTTCAGCTGCAGATATTTGATCTCCACTTTTTTCAGGTAAATTGGACGAATCAGTTTTTTTCTTGCTTTTAATGTTATTTTTTTTTCTATACATTGTAAGTTTCTTTCTTTTTTTCTTTTTCCTCAATGTATTCAAACTGAGTAATATTGGAAATCTTGGTCCATATATATTTTGTTTTTCAGAATTTGTTTTCTTTGTATCATTATGTGGCAGAGTTGTTTGTATTTCTTTATCTATTCTCACTTGCGGAGTCATTTCGGTGACAACTGAAATTTTTTCAGGTGTATTGTCTTTTGATGTTTCTATTGTAACATCACCTTTATCAACATTAAAAGATATGTGTTTTGTCAAATTAACATTGATTGGTCCTTTATCAGTATTAGGAACATTTACTTCTACAAAATCGACATCTTTTTTATAGATTTTCGTGGTTTTTACATTTCCTTTTTTACTTTTAGTTGGAATATTCTCCACTGGTGTTGATTGTGAAGTGGGTAGGCCATATTTTGTATCATTCATTGGGTCATTGTTTGAATACTGTTGATGAAGTGCCAATCTCTCTAATGTGCTTAATCCAGAACCGGACATCTTTCTATCACTTTCATTGCCATATCCAACATCACCTAAGGAATCCCATTCTAGTTTCCGTTGAGAGGTAATACTGCTTGTTGGTGAAAATGGTTTGTTCACAGAGGTTTCCAATTGTGGATCAATTGCTGTGAAAGAGTTTTAACATTAAAACAATAGTAGTATTTGTTTAAGATTATGATAAACTAGCTTTTGTCCGTGAATTTGTCAGCATGGAATTAAATAAATCTTTACACTGTGTTCTACATCTGTCATGAACTTCAGCTAAATTGATTGAATTGTTCCATAAATACATAGTAATAAACATCCATCCATTCATCTAAACTCTCTCATTTTTAAGCTCAGTTAGATAAGTTAAATGGATATTTACTCAAAACTGAGGTCTTTGTAAATAATTGTACATTATTTTAAATACAGCCTAATTCAAACTTAACACTGTTTTTTTTTTGTCAAACTATACAAAGACTAAAAATTTACAAAGATTGTTGAGACACTAAACTGTTATCTGTACTAATATTATGGAGATTTGCATTTTTGTATATATTCAAATAACTCAAAAACTACTGGGTAGATTTTAAAACTTCTTTCACCGTTAGAAAGCTAAAATATCTGTGAGTTACATAGACTATACTTTTTATTATTCTTTTTTAATTTCATGCAGACAATGGCTCGAGCAACAGCTGGTGATTAAATATGCCTTACATTTCTGAGAGTTGTTACCATCTGATTTGATTGATTCATTGTCTGAGTGAGGTGGTGAGCAGTGATCTGTTTGTATTGGAGATGCTTCTTCAGTAATTATAGGTGGAGATATGGAATCATCTTTAGACTTTGGATTATCATCCTGAAAATTTATAAAACATAAAAATCAAGAACTAAAATTAACTAATTAATTAGAAATTGTAATCCCAATACTATTTGCTACATTTTTTAAATATGAATTATACATAAAATTAATAGGTTTGATATTTTAAACATTGTAATCAAAAACATGGAAGGTATAAAATAAAATATACATTTACCGGAGAACTTGAGTGTTCTGGGACAGAACATTTGATGGATATTCTGCATAATTCCGTAGACGTACCAGCTTTACCTTCCCCAGAGTCGGAGGAATCAGACTGCATTTTCATTTTCCTCCAGAATAGACTTGAAGGATCACGAATATCGCTATCAGCGGTCGACAAAGAGAAGAATTGTTCTAAATCACGTTTCTTGCCAAACTTTTGATAGTAATCCAAAATGAGTGAATTAACCGCCGACTGAGAATCTCCATCAATTGTAGCGTTTACAAACACTTCATTATCAGCGACATTTTCTTCCATAGTTAATATCAGGTACGAAGAAAATAATCTGTAAATTTTAACATAGCTAAATATTTTCGATTTTCAAAAACGGTTTTTTAAAACAAGACGTCACAAAGTTGTCAACAAAACGTCAAAGAGCAAAAAGTCAACAGTCACAACACAAAGGAAAAATGTAGATTATGCTATCATAAACTCAATTAGCTCTATGGCAGAGTGGCAGTTTTGTATCTGCTGTCAATTTTTCCAGTTTCCTTAGCTTTGCCATAGGCGTGAGTCGTTACGTCATTTTCGAGAAACGTAACGAAACTAGTGATTTGTTCGGTGTCACATGTTTCAAAACTAGTGATTTTTGTA